TGGAAAAAAAAACTAAAGGAATTAAGTTTTTTATCCGACATCGATTTTTTGACGTCGTCCCTAAAATAATTTGTGTATGTAAATATACAGCTATGTCTTTGTTATCTTGGTCTTGAATGATTTCGTTGTGCCTTATGCCAGGCACCACCTGTAGTGAAGGTAATGCCCGTGCACCTTGATACGTTTACCTACCAAAAACCAAAAATTCGTAATGTTTTGTTGAGGCCCACCCTGTTTGAAACCAACGATTTTCATTTTTATCAAGGTTCACACGCAACTTCCATTTTGTATAACTTTGCATTGTACAGCACTTCACTAACTAAAACGTTGCTCACATATACTATACTGTGACAGAAATTATCAAGTAAGGTCATCAGGATTATGATGCAAAGTACGCACTAATTACACGACCGTACTGGTCCGGTCGAAGTCAACTTCGTGTACTAGTAATTGCGTCATATTATGATACGGCTAGATCTGTACCTAACGGGGTAAAGTACTTCCAATTTAATCTTAGTCTATGCAAATCCAGATTGTAAACAATGTGCCTGTGTGTTGCTTTGTGTGTGTTACATGATAAGGTCTTCAAAGACTTGAATAATTGTTACCCCTCTGTGGTCGAGCTGTAGTGAACAGACACTCATTTCATAATATCAACGAAATGCTGATCTAAAATTACAGCGCCCTCAACCACAACTACAAGCACTGTGTTTTAGTCCACCCCAGCTGGACTGTAGAGGGCTCATTCCACTTCCTTGTACCAAAACAAACACCTTGTCTTTTGAAGCATTGGCATTTTGTCTGTTGGTCTGATATATACAGGTAAAGGAAAACATTTGTTACACTGGGACTAAATTATATGTCAAATGTTTGAAAGTGAAGTGTTGTTTTCACATTAGGATTCGTATTAATAATAATATATTATGTCGTCTTCAATCCAGCAACAAACTTCACTACACTTTACTCCCAATAGAAATACAGCAGTAGAAAAGACTATGATTTTTTTTTTTAAATCCAAAAATGTTTAATTCAGTTGCATTCATATACAGACAAAAACTTACCACTTTATATAAAATTAATAGGGCTTAGGACCTAGGGAACTAATTTATCTACTTTTCATGAAAAAAAATCGTAATTTAGTATAGCATGTTGATAGCTGCCAAGACTCCATTCTAGAGGTGTATACAAATTATTTAGGCTTGGCTAATTCCTTCATCATTACATACTGATACATATGATGAAATATACACAAGTTGTGGTTCAAAACAATCTTGTATTAACCACATAAAAAGCATGAAAATATTTATGTACAATGCTGCTAATGCAATAATATAGGACAAATATTACAAATTAGTGAGCTTAAGACTTGGTTGGAAGGGGGCATCAATGTACCATGTTGAAATTATACATAAGCATACCTCCTGAAAATAATTTAGCTTGAGGTTGTCAAAAAAATATGTTGCATACACCATATAGACTGTGAGTAACTTTATTTTACTAACTAATGTCAAAGATGAATTGTTTTAACATTGTTTGAGTTCTGAAGACTCAATAAAGTCAGTTTTTGCAATAAGAGAACATCACTATGCCGGTTTGTCAGAACAGGAAACAAGTTGATTATTATAGTAGAGAATGTTTTAGTTTCCAATGTAGATGGTCATATGTTTTAGTTTCCAATGTAGATGGTCATATGTTTTAGTTTCCAATGTAGATGGTCATATGTTTTAGTTTCCAATGTAGATGGTCATATGTTTTAGTTTCCAATGTAGATGGTCATATGTTTTAGTTTCCAATGTAGATGGTCATATGTTTTTCTAAAAGCTCAATGTCTCTTTCAAGTTGTTTCATTTCGGCTTCCATTCTTTCTTTTCTAGCTTTCTTTGGAGCGGTGTCGGTGACAACAGAAAGTCCCTGATACTGATGATGAATTGCTTCCCAGTTTTTCTTTAGTCCGTTAAGAATTAGTTGTCTTTCCTGTTCAGTGAGTTTCTGCATGGCACCTCTCTTATAATGCTCAGCAACGTAAGCATCATATTCTTCCTGCGCTCTCATCACTTCCTGTTTACGCCGAGTCAGGTAATCAGGTACTTCACCAAAATCCTAAGAGAAGGAGACAAGTCGTAGTAAATATACAAGTTCCATTCAGAAAGAGGTGAATTTTGAAAAAAATAGATACTGTATTTGCTCTAATAAAAGCACATTTCCAATACAAGCAGTATAAACCCAAAATTGCATTAGGTGTAAACTAAATCATTAACATATTTTGACCATGGAAACACCACTGTAATTTACAGAAGAGTACTGTAAAGGGGGTAATTATTCACTGGGTTTTAATTTTGCTTATTTCGCTGACTGGAAAAATGCACTAAATTAAAACACAGTGAATATGTAAAATTTAGCATAGAACACATTATCTAAATGACGAAACCGTGAATTTAAAACCCACTGAAAATGCCTGAAATGGTAAATCAGTGAAATTTAAACCCAGTGAAAATTAGTCATTTTACAGTATACACTTCAAACAGAGCAAATACAATATTCATACTTTGAAGTTAGCACTCTGTTTACGAACCGTATATTTCACATTACAGAATAATTTATGTTCAGAGCAACATAAAGCATGTTCATCATTACTTGAAAACACAACTGCATTTTTCTTTTGGTGATACACCAGCATGTAATGCTTTATCACCCCATACAACTTCATTGATGTTACTAGTACTCTAAAAACACACACACACACAGTGACAGTTTCCTAACTTAGTAGTATACCGTAGATAAACAGAGTCGTATTTTAAACTAACAGATAATAGCACAGGGGTACTCTGAGATTTGATTTTAATGCAATATCTGTCAAAATTTAAAACATATAAATAACAAGAAATCAGACCGTGAGATAGTAGTATATAACCCAAATAAAAATTGTAAATTACATCAGGAATTGCCTAAGCATTTTCATGCAGCGAGTCCTGATGTAAAAATGCAGAGGAATTGACAATTTAGCATTTACATGTATATTACATGGGACCCTCTCTAAAATACTGGAGGTATAGGAAGCAGAATTTGGGGTTATAACGCAATCCTTATACATGATATACCGGTAATAGAAATAATGTGAATCACATGCTGAAAGCTATTAAACATAGATAACCATACCTTCTTTTTAATATATTTGGGCACGAGTCCAGATATGTCCAGCGGGTGTGTATCGCCTTTCTTAGTATCAGCAAAGTTAGGTGCAGGCTTCTTGGGCACTGACATGATATTCTCCACAGCATTTGTCGTGATGAAATTTTTGGTTGATTTGATACCCATTAGAGGTTTGTCCTCTTGCGTGGGAACTGGGGGTCGCCTCGTGTCATCATCTGGGTATTTGAAGTCACTTTTTGGTGGATGCTGTGGTTCCTTCGATCGTTTCTTCAAGAATTCTCTGGGGTCGTCCGTTTTCACTTTTGCAGGGCCCATTGTCTTATGTGAAGCCTTGTTGCTTGTTGTCTCCATTTTGACGGTGGATCTAAACTGAGACTTGTACCTAAGAATCGAAAAAAGACAGAAACATTTTGTCAGTGTTGTTGAAGAGTAATCTGAGTGTAAGTCCCCACCCAAATCGCCACAAAAATAATGCCATGGCATATTTATGTTATACTAGTCTAAAGTCATTTGTATAGCACCAATCACTCTACAATTTATCTCCAATTTTTAAAATTCTCTTTCTATACGAATTAACATTACACGGTATCGATACCCCTCACTTGGATTGCAATAATAAACTCACAAAATAATATAGATTAACAAGTCAATAACAAACATCGTTTACCTGGCATCTTTTGGAGGCCTGTATTCCTCACGAGAAATCAGGTTGTAAATACTCTCGTTAGCCTGCATTTTCGGGGATTTCACTACCTTGCCAGGATATATAACTAAAACGGACAGTTTGAGCGATGTAGTCCTATTGAATCTCACGTTACTTCTGCAAGTAAATGAACAACAAACGAGAGACGGGTATATATGGAAACCAAGATGGCGATAACAAAAAATAAGCAGTGTCGCCAAGGGAAACAGACATGCGTGAGAAGATGTAAATATATGCAAATTAGGTTTGCGGTACAACTAGCGCCCTCACATGGCCGTTAATCCGATAACGTTACAGACATTGTGGACGAAAGCATACAAGTTCTGTCTCATATTTGTTGACAAACTGTAATGATGTGTTTGTCTCATTTTAGAAAGGCCAAAGCGCATAATTCTATACAAGAAATTCACTCAACGAAAACTCAGATTTGTTTCCAAACATTTTAGCACAACACAATCGACAACAGCATAACAGAAATTAAAAAAACAGGGTCAGTGGCGGATCCAGTAACATGTATGGGGGGGGGGGGTCCAAGCTACGCTTAATTAAGTTGTACGGAGCGTAAATCGCAGAGAAGCTATGCGTAATCCAGATAATACGAATCGTCATACGTTTGGGGGGGGCTGCCCCCCTTCTAGATCCGCCACTGAACAGGGTGCCGTAAAAATGACAGTAAAGACCCGTTTCCAGTAGTTGCTTTGGAAAATACAAGCCTCTAAATGCGAACAATACATCTTTGTACACAACAAAGTTTTAAATAGAGTCAACTTAACCGGAACAGAGCACTTGAAATTACTTTTCAAATACAATGTACCGTAGTTGGCGCTTGCATCAAAATACTTGACGCTGTATGTCACAACTATTACTGTGAAATAATTTATTTTCACTGGAATTAATTTTCACTGAAAAGGCTTTTTGGGCATTTTGTATGGAATTTATTTTCACTGACTTTTGGTGAGTTGAATGTAAAATATAGGAAAAAAGGTATATTCGCTGGATTTTATTTTCACTGAATCACTCCTTCAGCGAAAATTAATTCCAAGCAAAAATAAAGTATTTTACAGTATTACCTAATCACAGAGGGACTGTGACCTAATGGTATAAATAACCACTAACGTAATCCAACTTAGAGCCATTTATATACCACGTGGGGGATACGAGTAATATTTCTACGAGGAGGCAGTATAAACATACACTTTATTGAATTTAATACAATATAACAACACATTGTCAGCAGACGATTCAATCATTCCACAGACGGGCAAATTAAACCTATGTCGTCTGCATTCATTAACTGGTTAAGACATTTTCCAGGGAAAATGGCAACCAATACCCGTATCACCGAGTTCGTTGCTGAGTCCATCTATGTAAACAGTAAACTGGTGTGGTGATCCATGTAGAATACCACATTGCCTAACGTCATTGAAAGTATGAACATTTTTGGAGAATGTGGATTCCCAGCGAACATTAAACTGTTTAATAAACTGTTTGAACCAATACAAAACAATTTTGACAATAACAATTGGAACACCTCTGTGTAATAAATTGTGCAATAACAAAACAAGGCATTTAAAAACATAAAAATACAAGACTATTATTACGATTATGAAAATCTGTCGTTCGTCTGAGTAAAAATACGCACATATCAGTAGAAAGCCCTTTTTTGACTCCAAATTGATGGTTACTTGTAAAAGATACTACAGCGCTTAAAAATCAGATTCTCATAAAGCTTTGAGATAGCAGTAGCATTGGAACGATAATTTCCAGAGCTAGTAATACAGCCGTTTTTATTTTTTCCAATGAGCACAACGTAATTTCTAACATATGCGGGGGTAAATAACCGTGAAAATGCGCCGCAGTAAATGCGATTGAAAACAAAACATGGACACGGTTATCTACATCATGGATGTACTAAGTACCTCCATGTCTACATCAAGGCTGGCCGATTTTCCAACAGCAAGTTTTTGAATGCTACGTTTATGTAGATTAGCGTGCACTTGATATGTTCCTTTTATTCAAGATTAGCCTTTCAAACAAGAAGCCTCTCAGCTAATATACTTCAATATTTGAGATACATTATGTGAGAGTAATGTGATCCGCAGTATTAAACTTTATAATAACATTTATATACAGTGATTATACAACAAAAGGAATACATTTGATCGACATCTGTGTTTGCAGTCTGTGGTTTATCCAAGAGAACATATACACCAACTTTAATTTATATTTGATAGTTAACCAGATATCAGAAAATTTTCAGTTTAATCAAGTCGATGGAACAGCTACAAATTTGCTAATTTATGTAAATTAGGTAATTAAGATGCAGTTGTTAACCCTATGCTAATCACATACAAACTTATCATCACTGGCATAATATGTATTTTAAGACTCGTAGTATTAAGCTGCTTGCTGGCTTTGCTAATTAGTTCATCAATCTGGCAATCCCATTTTAACTATATCAAATACTAATATTGACACATTAACCTATTGAATAATTCTATCTCATTATCATCAGTAACTAACTGGGAGTCTGACAGGCAATTTTGAAAAACAGTCAAATTTCTTAGGATTCATATTAATTTTGTTCACATTTACATTTGCAAATATTGTTTGAAATGTTCACTGCAGAGTAGGATTTCTTGCCTCATTCAAATTAAAAAGATCAGATAAGATTTTACAGCAAGTTCAAAGTATTGGGGCAGCCAATTTGCAAACTCCCTAGCAAATTGACTAACTGCTTGGGCGAGTCTATATTGCATTAGGGAACATAGAATGCTTTAACGTAGCCTGGTACATGTGTGGATTTCCCTGAATGATTTGCTTTGCAATGCATGATAATGTGAAAGTAGTTTCCCTGGTCAGCCTGACAATGGCCACAGTCAGCTGGTGTACAAGTGATAACATGATAAATGCGATTAATCCACCGATATTTACTATATGGGGTAGCCAACTTGAACAGATTGAAACTAAACAAGTTGCGAAACGGTTACCTACAAACCAGGGAGAAAATAAATGTTCACATCCAATCAATTCGTTGGGGTAACATTAAACCAAACACTAATAAAATTCGACAATCCCTTGTATACGAACACCTCATTACACTAAGAAAATAGAACATTTTCCCTGGTATATTTGAAACAAATTGCCATCCAACTAAAGTATGACGACCGTCCCCTACTGTTATATAGATTCACAGAGTGGGCGTGACCACAGGACTGCACCAGTGAGATTCAAAACCAAGACAGTTTTACAACCAAAAGGAACAAAACTTCAATCACTGAATACAGCCATAGTTTGTACCAACACATCCAGTTAGTACATTCTACACTGCAAATATACATATTCAACTCACTTTTTAATTTTATAAGTTTTGAGTCACAAGTCATTAAAGCCAACATTTCACTTCTGGTCATTTTGAAACGTGCTCTTTACGCTTTGTGTATATTTTGCATACCAGTGAAGTGCGCCACATACGACAGTATGGGGAATTGTTTGTTTGCGAGTTTCATAGAATGTTTTATTGATCTAAATCAACCTTTAATGCATGCATTCAAAAGCATATGCAAGTAATACGCATTAAATGTTGAACATTCATCTTATTGTAGTAGATATCTCAATAGAAAATCGCATAATTGTTTTAATTCACAAATATGAAAACCAATTGTAAATGCGAACGTTGTCAATCAGTACCAGTTTCCAATATCCTTCACATCTCAGACAAAATTCAATAAACTCAACGGGTTCTCGTGTAACCTTCAGTTGATGACGGCTGCTACTTCTCTCGGAATGTATCCAACAGATGCGACAGAAATGCCATACAATCACTTGTACCGTTGCCTTCCAACTTCCTCGGCGATCATTCACAAGAGGTGAATGATCCCCATCTCAGTGTCTTTGTCTACACGCTTTGACATAATAGCAATAATTGTTCAAATTCAGAAACTGCATTCAAAACTAAACTGTTCTCACAAAGATAATTTAGGTAATTTCATCATATGTTAGGTGCATTTTTGAATATTTGTATCAACTAGGTTTATTATTATCGTGAAATGTTCAAAATAAAATTTGAAAATTTGGTAAAGATGAACGAGCATATGTATGTATGCATGAAATAATAAAGTGTCCAATATCAACATGATTGTTTGATGAATGTTTGACTTGATGCTTACATGATGTAATATGTAACTTTAATGCGTCTACAACGATCACTGAATCGTCTAGGAAAGTGTCTGGGGATGTTGCAAAGTCCCTCGGTAATTGCCTACCAGGTGCGGGAGTTATGTGTATGTAAATATCTTGTGCCCGCTGTAACATTTAAAAGATAAATCATTCATAGACACTAGCATTTGTTTGAACAAATTCAAAACCAGTGCAATGGAATATACACAATATTTATTTTATTTTATTTTTTTGGCATTTATCGGTAACAAAAAGAATCGATTAATGCTAAAAGTAAACTTATGAATTTAACACTGAACACCGAATCTAATATATTATTACAATCAGTTCAGAATGTCTTAAAGTACTAATTGCTTAGTGTCTTGTACTACTTCCAGAATTTCTTGATGGACATATTCTTTTCTGAATCCTTTTGCATAACCTGCAACAGAACCAAGGAATTATTTTGGTAACTTGATGCATTCAAAACATAGAAACTACACATTCAT